CCCCTGCCAGGTGGGAACACCCCGGGGCTCCCGCTGCACTGCCGGAATCTGCCGCCCCCTGGGATTATTCCAGAAATGGGTTTCCTCTCGAGTCCCGCTGTCAGCTTCTCCCAGGCACATCAGGCGACTTTGGGCGCCTTCCGTGTGACCCAGAGCTGAAGACACTGGGGAGTTCCTGGCCCCGGGGCCGGGAAGCTCCGCTTCGGCACCCCCTGTACCCCCGCCGGTTTCCCTGACAACCCCTCTCCCCAGGGTGGGGGGACCAGGCGAGGTACATCAGCATCCCCTGCTCCCTGCAGATCACCCCCATCTCCACCCACCAGCCCACAAGCCCGTCTGAGTCCCCAGCTTTGACACCCGCCCCCCACTGTCCTCGGGGTGTCAGGAAGCAGAGGAATCTCTCTCCACTTGAGGGATGTCTCCAGGTCCGCAGGGCATTTCCTTCCACTGCCGGGGGGTCTCTGCGTTCTGGCCCCGGAACCCGGGACATGGGTCCCCACTTCTCTACGAGGCTCCCTCTTCGGATCCTTCTGTAACCAAGGGACACAGTTTCCCGCCCTGTGAGCACCAGAGGAGGCTTTCCTGTCCTGACCTGGCGCGCCCCGGACTTGGGCGACGCCCTTTGCTCGTGGAGAAGGGAAGATAAATGTGCTTTTGTCAAGTGCCCTATGCCTGCCTCCATGTCCAACGTGTCCACGAACGCCTTTGGAGGTGGGGGGACGGGTCCCTCAGCCCCTCTCCCCACTGAGAGGACGCGAGGAGTGAACGGAGCCGCTGCCCTGGCCGTCCCCTCCGATGTGCTTGGACTCTGCCATCTCCGAGGAGAGGAAGGCCCAGCTCACCAGTGCTCCACATACCAGGGGGCCTTCCCTTCCTGGCCATTGGGGTCATGTCGCATGTGTTTCTGTGGCTGTGGCAGGGTCGCAGGGACGGCGGGAAGGGGTGGTGGCAGTGGTTCTCCTCTCCCTGCCCAGCCCGACCCTGCTCTGACCCACCCATGCTGAGTCTGGGAGGTCTGGGACAGTAGGCACGCAGTGGGGACTGTCTCGGGAACACCGTGCGAGTCCCCCGCCGCTCAGGGGTGACCTCGGGCCTCCGGCCCCAGGCCCTGGCTCGCTCCATCCCACCTGCCTGAGTTTGCACAGCCTCGGGAGGTCAAGAGATGCCTCCCTTCAAAACACAGGGCAGGCGTGCCGACTTCCCAGCGTGATGCTCTTCCTCGGGAGAGACGGGCCGCCGTGCCTCCCGCCCGCTGGGAGGGATGCGGGCGCCTGGAGCAGGGTGGTTCTTCTTCTGCAGCAGAGACGACAGCGGGGGCCGGCGTGACCCTGCTCCTCTCGGGCTGCCCTCGGGAACCGGGGCCCAGGTGACCCAGGGACAGAAGTGGGCATCCGGCTGGGGAGGGGGGTTGTACACCATCCTTCAGCTCTGACCCAGGAGCTTGGGGCCCTCCCGGCACCTGCGCCAGGCATACATGTGTTGGGCAAAATCGCAGAAGCCCTTTCATAGTTCCTGACATTAATTTGAGCGGTAATCGTGTTTTATTCCTTCTGCATATTTCTTGTATTTTGGCATCAAGATACAAAGAAACGAAACCCACGAACGCCCCCAAGGGCGGGCCTGTTACTGCTTCCAGGACGGCAGGCCACAGCCGGGGCCACCCCCTGGGGCCACAGCCCGGGCCACCCCCTGGGGCCACAGCTGGGTCCACAGCCTGGGACCACCCCCGTGACAATCAGACGTCAGCAGCACCCTCGTTGGCCGTCTCTCTTATTTCCTCTCCCTTTTGTTCTCTTTTTCCCTCCTCATTTTGTGATGTTTTCCCCTCCTCAGTCTTTAATCTGTGTTCTAGTCCCTTGCAAGGGGTCAAACAAACTTTGTGCACGGTGCTGGCCAAATCCCACAGGCGAGTCTTCAAGAGAAGAGCCTTCCGGGTGCAGGGCCGTGTCCTGGAGATGGCCCTGGGTGGGGGGAGGCTGAGGGGAGGGCGGCACGCACAGGTGTGCAGCCCCTGTGCCGGAGGCAGCAGGCATCTCCGCGCCTGGGCTTGCCCCCTCACTCCCTCAGCAGTCACCCGGGTCCTTGAAATAAATGATGTCACTGCTGCCTGCGAAGGACCCACACTCTAATGACACAGCCATGCGGACCCCAGACCCCATGGCAACCGGACAGGCGCGTTAACAGAGGACGCTGTGGAGGGTCCCTCGGACGCCTGGGTGGGCAGGGTTAGCGCTGCCGGCCGCTGGGGCCTGAGCCGGGTCTGGCCGGGCCGCCGACTGGCCTGGCAGAAGGGGGAGGGGGAGGGGTTTAGACAAAGGAAGGAGGGAGTCCCCACAGTTCCTGCTGAGCCTTCTTCTCACCTACCAGGGTCTGCCTCTATGGTAACCCCCCCCCCACCTCTAGTGGCGGGATCTTGACCGCCCCAGGGTCACAGTGCGTGTCCCTGGGGGGATGTGCAGTGTAACCCCGGGAGAGCCCAGCGACCCACCTCCGCAGTGCGCCCTCCAGGCTGGGCAGCCCGTCTGCCGAAAGGGGGTCCCGTTCGTGTCCTCCGCAGGGAGGTCGCGGGGCTGTGAGCACTCAGCACAGCCCTCGGCCCACGGCAGGCATCCAGATGGCCTGGAAAATCATTCACGCACTTCGGTTCCGCCTCCCTGAGGCGAAACGCGTGGCCTTCTGCCCAGGTGTCCCCAGAGCCCTCTGCCCTGGGTGGGAGGAGGGAGCAGAGGTCAGAGGTGTCTCAGAGCCGTTCAGGGAGGCCGGGGGGACGCTCGGTTTCTGACGTGCGTGGCGGGACTCGGAAGGTAGGGCCTCGCCGGGAGGCGGCATCACCAATCCTTCGTCCCTCCCTCCGTCTGAGCCCTGCCCCGCCCACGCCTCCGTCACAGCCTGCGGAAGGAAGGTGAGGGCGATTCGGGGCCTCCGGGGAGACGAGACGATGCGTGACTGTCACCATTCCTTACGTCCGCGAGAGCCAACAGAGTGGGTTTGACAGCCCTGGCCTTGGGCCTCGGCCGCCCCATCCGGGAGCCCGCGGAAGGCAGCTGTGCGGACCCCCGAGCAGCCCCCCGCCACCCGGTGCTCTTCAAAGAAGCCCACGCAGGAAAACACTGCCTGGAAACGGCCGTGTCTTACCGGGTAGAAAAGTGTCTAATCCCTCGTTAGATACCGGCCTGCATAGCCAATGTCACGGAGGCACAAAGCCGTCCCAGGAGTTTGGAAGGATCACAGAGGATTCTATATAGCGTGTTTTTCGGACAGTCAGACACACTTAGGTTTTACAGGGGGGGAATAGGAAAAAAAATTTTCGAAGCAAAAAATGTGGTAAAATATTTAATAACATAAATAGCATACTATTTCATCAATGCCAACATAAAGCTACATTGGGACTACAAGAGGCACCCCCATTTTCCTCCCAACGCGGGGGGAAATGCATCTTATAGTCGGAAAAACACAGGTAAATCGCAGCGCATTCAGCAGCTGAGCCCACAAACCTGTCTATTGGTTTCCATTTTCAACAAGAAAGTGTGTTGTTTTAACACTAACTTCCTTATTTTGCCTCTGCAGAGCTGGCGCGGGGTTAGAGACGGGAGTTGGGAGTGTGAGTGCCGATTGTCTTTCCCCCGGGGTTGTGGGTTCTCGCGTTCTCCTCGCTCTCGCACGGAGCCCGTTTACTGGTTGCCAACACGGAGACAGTCCCAGGGCTGCCCCAGGGCTGAGCCCCGGAGCCGACCAGCAAAGACCCCGGTAGGGGGCCGCACTGCACCCTCCCGTTTCCCGTGAGAGGACGACTCGGGGCGGCGTCCTCGTCCCAGGGACGAGCAGGTGCTCGCAAGTATGTACGGGAGGCACTTGCTGTGTGTGAGCCTTGAACATTCAGATTTAGTGTCTTTTCTTTCCACGACGGTGTTTGACGTGTTTTCAGGAGCTGAAAAACACCACAAGGCTGACACTGAAGAGTAAGTCTTGCCCTGGCCCGCCCCAACTGGGAACTGAGGCCAGCACCTAGGAGTGGACTCTTCCCGGGCTTCCCAGCCTGCGGGTCTGCCCTGCAGGTCTGGGGCTTGCTGGGCTCTGCCGTTGTGTGGGCCAAGTCCTAAAGTCTCTCTGTCCCTCTCTCTCTCTCTGTATATATGATCTCAAAATAGATATTTATATGTAAACAACTACAGCATCTATCTATAACATCTATGAGCACAAATATATATGTATTTATAAACCTCCCGTTGGGTCAGTTTCCCTGGAAAACACCGACTGTGGAATACACCCCGCACCTGCCCGTTTCTGCCCATTGTATGCATGAGGAAGTTGAGGCTCAGGGCTGCTGAGAACCATGGCCAAGGGTACGACGCTCCTGACAAGGGTGGAGCCCAGAAAGTGCAGGCTTTCCGAGCCACAGCGCAACACAGCTTCTTACGTGTGAGTCCCAGAATGAGACCACGAGGGCCTGCACGGCACGCACCCTGTAGCTACTATGAAGTGTCTCTTCTTTTCAGTGGTTCACACGGGACAGTGGGCTTCCACGGTGCGCGAGAACCGTCAATGCGCAAACACCTCACTGTCCAGGAGAAGCACAAACACGCCCGTTCGTGGAGGAGGCGGGTCCCTGCTTGGCTGAGTTGTCCTTTGGGTTAATCTTCTTTGCAGTTTTAATCCCCAGAAAGATCTTGACGTAACCACACACTTTTCATAAACAGTCGACTGCAAGGTTTTTAGGAACATGAGAGGGAACTAAACAGACAAGAATTTAAAACGAAGCTTTGTTGAAGATAAGATGGCCCCCCTCCCTCCCCAAAAGAAACAGAGACAGAGAGACATAAGCGGTGTGTGTGCATGAAGTCAAAGCCGAGAAAAACAAACAGCGCGTTGCACTCCCTGGGCCTCCCGGTGTCCTCGCCGTGGGCTAAAGTCCCATGTTCAGGTCACGGCTTCCCAAGTGGCCTCACCCTGGCGCCTCTCCATAGGAGAAGGTGGCGGTAAATATTCACCCGGATCAATGGTTTCTGGGCAAGCTGCAGACTGCCCCAGTCGGGGCGAGCAAGCCGGTCACCCCGGAGCAAGAGAGAGCTGCTCTCGGGAGACACGTCGCCCCCAAACGCAAGGAGACGACCTCCCTGGCTCTGAAGGACAGTCCTTTCAGAATGCAGAAGCTGGTGCTGGGGATACTGGCCGTGTTCGTCCTTGGATTGAACGGCGGGCCCTGTGCAGGTGAGGGGCTCAGCTCCCCGGGACCCGAGGTGTGTGTGTCCCGGCCCGGGCACCGGGTCTCACCGTGTCCCGTGTGCTTGCGCCTGCAGGTGTCCCCGTGTACGACTACGACCTGCCCTCCCTGCGGCAGGCCCTGAGCGCCTCGGTGGCAGACGTGAACTCCCGGTCCCTGAGCCCGTTCCTGTTCCGGGCGTTCAGAAGCTCCGTGAAAAGGGTGAGTGGGCAGGCCTGCCCTCCATGCCTCTCTCTGCCGCTTTCCGGCTCCTTGGGTCGGTGGGTTGGGGTGCACTTCGGTTTTATCGGTCCCAGTTTAAAGGGATCATAGCTGATCACCTTTCCGGCCGTTTCCGATTCTATCACAAGGCCCCCGGAGCTCTCCGGAAGCCTGCCTGCGCCCTCCGCTGGGCGCGTCCCTCCCGCTGGCCCGGTTCCCGTCCCGGGCCTTCCCGCCGCGAGGCCCACGCCCCCGGGTTCCTCGTGGGACTCTTTAGGAAGAACTGCTCGTTTATTGGGAACGAGGCTGTCTCGGGTTCAGCAGTTCTGCTTCTCATGTTTGTAGGAAGTAAACTCTGGCTTTCGAGCTAAAGCATCCCCCTTCCTTTGTCAATGCCGTAGTGGTCTGTGTCCTGTTCGCACTGGAAACAGGGAAAGAGGAGTCTCCTGGGTGTCCCGTGATGAAGTCTGTGATGGGCAAAGAGGGAGAAGCAGAAATGCCCTCCCAAGGAAGTGAGAAACGTGGACAGCCAGTCGCCTGCCCCCTCCCTGTCCCCAGGGGAGGTCAGCGCCTAGACAGTCCCTGGGCAAAGGGGGCAGGGATGCTCTCCAGTTAGTTCCCGTGAAGCTGGGAGGTGGGCTGGCTTCTGTCAGTCACAGCCCACGTGGGAAGGAGGGGACGTGCTCGTGTCTGTCGTCCCGGCCGGGGGCCACCTTCACTCGCCCTCAGCCTGCCCCCTCTCCAGCTGGGAGGGGCATGTGGCTCCTGTGTCTCCGAGGACAACACATTCCCCTTGACCCTTCCTCTTCAGAAGGTGGCTCGGTGTCCCATTTCCAGAGTCCCAGGAAATCAGTTGAATTGTCCCAGCCGTCTTTTCTGATGGGCCAGAGGTCACGGAGACGGGGGACTAGGGCTCAGCGGGGTGTCCGGCCTGGAACCAGGCTGTCGTGGCCAGAGCGGCGTAGGGGCGGTGAGAGACGTGTGTGGTCAGCCGCCAGGCCGGAGGGGGATTCATTCCGGAAGGGCACCGGGCCAGATCAAGGACCTCGCTCCCCCCCACCCCCACTCCACTGGCTTCTCTCTCTGGCCCACCATGAAACCCGCTGGCGGTGTGGGGTGTGGGGAAAGCAATGTCCTCTCGCCGGACCTGCTTGCGGTTTAGCTGTGCCCACCACAGAGACAGTGAATACTCAGATGAATTAGAACGTGAGGATGAGCCCCGAGAGAGCCAGTTCCGGGCACCATGGGGCTCTGGCCCGGGGAGATGAGCTGGGGAATGCCTTCGCCAGATTAGACCCCGGGCACAATCCGGCGCGTGGCCCACCCCATATAGACCTGAGCCCAGACACACGCACCTGGGCCAATAAACACACTTCCGTGCGTGTGTGTGTGTGTGATCCTTAATGGTATGTAATGGGGAGATGCCCCTCTGTGTCCCGTGTGCCCCCGTCCTCTCTGGGAACCTGCCTGCTCTTGCCTCCCTCTCTGGCCTTTTCCAAGCACCGACATTTGCCAGTCGGGCAGCATTCGGATGCCCCTTCTGTGGAGTCCTCACGTCCCCGCGGACGACTGCGGGAGGACCCCGAGCACTGAAATGCGGAGCTGCGAGTCAGTGTTAGCGAGCAGGCAAATCTGCGCGTGTGGGACCTGCGAGCAACCAGGAGCAGCTAGCTGCAAAGCTCAGTCCTTAGACGCAGCTTTAAGGCCTTGGGGCTGGGACTCGGAGGAGGTGCCGGTGCCAGCGTCCGCCTAGAGCAGCGAATGCCTCTGCCAAAGCACGTTTCCCTCTGGGGCTCGGAACCGGGGCGTGTGGAGCCAGGGCACTCTGAGATGGCCGATAGCTTTTTATTGGTTCAGTTTTATCGGTGGGGGGAGGGGGTGATTCTGTAACGTTCTCTCGCTGTGCGGGGAGAGACACTTCTTACAGTGTGCATTCGGGAGCACGGGCGGCAAACGGACGCTCCGTGGTCGCGCAGGTCAACATGCTGGATGAGGACAGCCTGAGCATGGACATAGAATTCAGCGTCCGAGAGACCACCTGCCGGAGGGGCTCCGGGGAAGACCCCGCCACCTGTGACTTCCAGAGGGGCCACTACGTGGTAAGTGGGCTGGGAAGGGCCCACCCACCGCCGCCCCAGAGACTGACACGAGGAAGAGCCTGGTCTTCTCCCACGACCTGGAGCTGCGTTGGTGGCCCGCTGGGAGCTGGGCCCCTGCCCCGGGTCCGGCCGCACGGGGAGGGAGGCAGGCGCTGTGGTCCTGGGTGGGGGTGGGGCGGCCCAGTGTTGAGGACGTGAGCTCTGGAGTCCGTGGTCCTGAAGGATCCTGACAGGTTATTTAACCCCCGGCCGCCTCAGTTTCCTGTTCTCTAAAATGGGGATAACGAGGGTTCCCAGCAAAGTGAATACGAAGAGGTCAAAAATAACCACAGGCATTTCAAGTTGGCCCTAAAACGATTTCAAAACGCTGACCGCGGGAATCGCGTTACTTTTCGGTTGACGGTCGGACAATACCTCTCTCCCTGACCAGCTGGGGCTGCGCTGGGAATGGACCGCAGCACCAGGGCGTGTTCGGCTCCGTGCCCCCAGGGCCCAGACCACGGCCCCGCACTTCGGCCTCCACCCCGGGCAGCACCGCCAGCCCAATGTTCACTCTCCAAGGCTTTTGCATGGAGACGTGCGCATTCTCGGGGCTTTGCCGCGTTATCCGCGCGCATCAGGGCCGCGGCGAATGGTGTTGAACTTCTGAACGGGAAGCCTTTAGTGTTTTACCGTTTGCTTCCTGAGACTTTTTCTTTAATTTTTTAAAACATATTCTTCTTCTTCTTTTTAAAGATTTTATTTATTTATTTTTAGAGAGGGAGGGGAGGGAGATAGACAGAGAGAGAGAGAAACATCAATGTGCGGTTGCTGGGGGCCATGGCCTGCAACCCAGGCATGTGCCCTGACTGGGAATCGAACCTGCGACACTTTGGTTTGCAGCCCGCACTCAATCCACTGAGCTACGCCAGCCAGGGCTTCCTGAGACTTTTTGCTGTGACTCTGTTTTACGAAGGACCCACACCCAGGGTCACAAGCGCCCGTTTCTAGTGAAATCTGAGGCCGAAGCAGAGTCTTTGGGTCCCCCCCCACCCCCACTTCTTGCTCCCCAAGTGGGAAAGGATTCAGGGCAGCCCCCTCCGTGCTCACGAGGGGGCGTCTGCTCTCCCGGGACTCGGGATGTGCCAAACGCCTCAGAGATGTTTAAGTGTTTCTCTAGTTTCTCCTCAGGCCTTGAGAAACTTTCCTTTTGGAGGCACGAGGGGCCTCTGTGGGTTTGTCCGTGCTGCCTGCCCCGCTGGGTGTAGCCCCGCAGTGTGGCCTGGCCCCTGGCCCTCCGGGGAGCCACGGCGGACCCTGCTCACCGTCTCGCCCTTTCCAGCCGGCAGCCGCCTGCAGGAGCACCGTGCGGATGTCGGCCGGGCAGGTGCAGGACGTGTGGGTGCGCTGCCGCTGGTCCTCCAGCTCCGAGTCGGACAGCAGCGAGGAGGTATGACGGGGGCTGGGCGGCCTCTCCGGGTCCGCGCGGGCCTGGGGAGCACCGCTGTCCCCCAGGCCTGGGCGGGCACCCCCCCACCCTGCTGTTCCCGTGGGTTTGCTCTTTTTTAGCCTACAAGCTCACTTCCAGTATCCCTTACTTCCCTCAGCCTGTTCTCTGTCTGTCTGTCTGTATGTATGTACCCATCGATCCATCCACCTCTATTTCTCTCTCTCTGTGTTCCCCGAGACTTGTGAGCAGGGAGCTCTGGTCGGCGTGAGCGAGTCTGCACAGTCTTAGGTCCCAGGAGGATGCTCCCCGGTCCGTGGTTCAGTGAAACAAAGGGGAGCGTTTCTGTGGGACCCACGTGCAGACCGTCCGCCAGCTCAGCAGCTAGGTCAGGATATGGACGGAGCCTTCAGGTCTGCAGCTTCTTCCCCTCAAGTGAGGGAATAAATGCCAGGAGTAAAGACCACCCGATAGGCTGTGGGCCGAACCAAGGGGGTCGATGGGCACGGATCTGGCTGGTGCCTGGCCCACAGCAGGTGCGTGGGGGGGGTGGCGGGACACGCTTTTCCTTCATTCACACCGACACTGATGAACAGTGATACTGTGAAATTCATAGTCCGTGCCTTTTAAAGTCCTCACCAGAGGATACTTCTTCACTGCTTCTGGAGAGGAAGGGGGAGAGAGAAGCATCGGGGGTTGCCTCCCTAGGTGCCCACCAGACTGGGGATCATATGGGCCCAGACTGGGGGTCAAACCTGCAGCTCAGGCATGGGCCCTGACCAGGAATCAAACCCACGACCTTTTGGTTATGGGATGACGTTCCAACCAACATTGGCCAAGGGTACATAAATTTCTTTCTTTTTTTAGATTTTATTTATTTATTTTTAGAGAGGGAAGGGATGGAGATAGAAAGAAACATCAATGTGCAGTTGCTGGGGGTCATGGCCTGCAACCCAGGCATGTACCCTGACTGGGAATCAAACCTGCGACACTTTGGTTGGCAGCCCGCGCTCAATCCACTGAGCTACGCCAGCCAGGGCCAAATTTCTGACTTGAAATACATTGCACACTTATTTGTCTGTTCACTGACAGCTTTCCTTACTGGAGTGTCTGTCTCACGAGGTCGGGAATGCTTATTTTTGTCCGCCCAGGGCAATGTTTGATTTAGGGTAAACACTCAGTAAGTACTCGCTGAAGGAATTGTCACAAGCTGAGGGAGAGCCCCGGCCAGCGTGGCTCGGTTGGTTGGGTGTCGTCCTGCAAACCGAAACGTGCATCGTTCAGAGGTCACGGCATGTTCGTAGCTGTGTGCAGCCCTCCCCACTCTCTAAATCCAGAACACACCCATCGTCCCAGAGAGAAACCTCTCGCCCACCAGCCGTCATTCTCTGTCCTCCACCCCTCCCCAGGCGACAGCCACCGACCCCCTTCCTGTGTCTATAGCTCTGCCCCCGCCGCACGCTGCCTGTGGGCGGGGCCCTGGGACACACACCCCCCTGGGACTGCTTCTTTCCCACAGGCTTCCGCCCGGGAGCCCCGTGCCTGGGGCGGCACGCGCCAGAACCTAATTCCCGGACTTCGTTGAGTAGTATCTCACTGCATGGGTGTACTACGTTTGATTTCCCTGTTTATTAGTCGGGCACCACTTGGGTTATTTTCCCTGTTGGGAGACCATCAATAACGACGCGGTGAGCTTCCGTGCACAGCCTTTCTGGCGGACATGTTTTTACATAGACTTCCAGCGGCTCCACGCGGGCTACTGATGCACGCCTCGCCAACCGCGTATGGCGCCTTCACAGAGAGACCGAGCACAGTCTGTGGACCGGTCCGTACAACCGGCCTCCTCCTTCTGGCCCAGACGCTTGGGAGCGATTCTGAGTCTAAGGGAAAGCTCTTTAGTCAATGTAACTGGCTTTTCCCTACGCATTTCCTTAGACATATGTACTGAACACCATATAAGCTTATTTAACATGACGTGTCATCTTATTTAATTGATCGGACTCCTCCGGATAAGATTTGCCTTTTTCGAAGGATGTTTTCTTGATGATGCTGTTACAGTTGTCCCGTTTTCCCTCCCCTCTCCCCCTCCGCCCTGTGTCTCTCCCTTTTCTCTCTTTCACGCGCTGACACGAACCGACGCCTGACCTTATGAAGATGGGTTTCAGGTTTATCGTGGGGTCCTCCAGATGGAGACACAGTGATCTGTTTGGTAAGTGGAGGTCTTTTCTTTCTAATGTTCTTTTTTTTCCTTGAAGCCACCTCATACTAAAGCTTTCTGTGAGTGAGTCATTTAAAACTGGACACATGCACACACCACCTTTGAACAAGTGCAGTCATCACGGAAAAGAAACACTTCTTTTGGTTTCTTTCTTCACTCTCGGCCCTGGTGACACACTGTTCATTTTGGTGTCCCTGTGTTTACACGGAGCTTTTCCGTGCACGACTTCATCTGATGCCCGCCCCCCGCCCCCACCCCGTCTCTGTTCAGTAGCCGGGCAGATGTGGGGTTTCACCTTGAACATGGGTCTGTCTCTAAACCTGAACGTGCTGGCTCACCCTCCTGGGTGCAGGACCTCAGCTGCAGGGCCGGGTCTGCAGGAGCGTGCAGCTGGGGGTGGGGGAGAGTCCGGACTGAACTGGGGCTGCACTGGGTCAGCCTCCAGCCGAGTGACCAGAACTGACCGACCCTTACCTGTCTCGGTTGGCGGGATCAGGGGCGGGGGGTGGGCTCTCCTTTCCTTCCTTCCCGTGTGGCCTCTCATGGGAGTGGGGCGGCTTGGGGGTCTGATGCTGTGGGGCCATTCTCACGTTCCTGAGGCCTTTGCCGGCTGGTGCAGACGGTGGCCAAGCCCTGTGCTGACCTCCCACTTGCCCCATGTTTAAGAGGCCCGTCTAGGGCATCGATAATGAGACCACAGAATATTCTGGAAGCGGCGAGGCCTCACGGTTGCTGTTGTGTTTCAGATCTTGCTCCTGGCGGGCCCACGAGTGAGCAGTTTTTTGGGCGGTCCCTTGGTAAGTGGCCCTGCGTTCCTCCTCAGGTGGGCAGACCGGCTCTCCTCGGGCCAGACCCCGCCGAGGTCATTTCATAGGGGTGGCCCCCTGAGCTACAACTTACTTTAAGTGGAAATGAAAAGACAGCACAGTGCTGCGTGCACTCGCTGTGCCAATCGTTGGAAAGGAAAACTCGGGGCATTAAAGCTCACTCAGACGCCGCCTGGAACCGAAATACCAAACCTGTCTCGGGAAATGAGCATCGTCCCTTGTCCCCGCCCCACTTTGTTTGGGGTGTTTTCTGAGTACCCCAGATTCTCCAGGTCTTCTCTCCAGCCCCCACTCTCAGCCGCACTTTGTGACAAGCAGACGGAAGCACCAGTATTTGTTTCCCCGTTACAGGTCAGTCTCCTGATTCACTGTTTGTGATCGCTCTGCAAACCAGGTTGTTACCTGCTCAGATAGAAGAAATGAGTAATAACATTCGGTGTCAATTGTACACACACGATACTTTGTCCTGACGGCTTAATGCCACTGTCTCCCTCAGCCGTCACGGCCGTCCCGTGAGGCGGCCCCGTGTTCCTTCCCACTCTGTGGATGAGAAAACTGAGGCTGAACGAGTTCCGCAGCTGGCCCCAGGCTCCGCTGGAAATGACCGGCCCTTAGTGTAGCGCACTGACCGTCCCCGTGTGGCCCCAGGCGCCACTGCCCACGGGTGCTTTGACCCAGTTAGGGAGTGGCAGAGATAGGACTCTGATGCAGGTCCGCTGGGCAGGCCCCAGAGCCTCTGCTGTTGTGAAATGAAAGAGTTGTGAAACTCACTCTACGTGCAGAGGTCTCCGCTGCAATGAGTAGAACAGACCCGACTGTCTCACTGAGTTCAATGTCCGATCCTCGCCAGGATCACACTCCAATTTATGGGAAGTGCTACGGCTTACAATCTGAGGCTTGGTTTTTACAAAAACGCAAATCTCAGTTTTGGACCCTCTCCAGATTGTCACACTGAAAGCATGTACAGTTGTTCTACCAGTAGGACTGCTGCTGAGACATTTTCTTTTTTTTTTCTGTTTTTCTTTTTAAATTCCAATTTTTTAAAAAGATTTTATTTATTTATTTTTTTAGAGAGGGAAGGAAGGGAGGGAGAAAAAGAGAGAGAGAGAAACATCAATGTGCGGTTGCTGGGGGCCATGGCCTGCAACCCAGGCATGTGCCCTGACTGGGAATCGAACCTGCGACACTTTGGTTCGCAGCCCGCGTCAGAGACATTTTCTGAATACTTCTTTTAAAATTGCCTCCAGCGTCTCTGGCCCGTTCTTTTGAATCTCTGTAGCGGTAAGGAAACACTTGCCATTAGGGTGGACTTTAGAAGCAGCCAAAAGACATTTAGAAATAAATCTGATTAACCAGATTACTAACCAATTGCTGTGTGTCCAGTTGCTCTAAAACTTAGCAGTTTGAAGCAACCATCGGTTATGATCACAGTTTTCCAGGGTCAGAAGCCCAGAAGCAGCAGCTCAGCGGGGTGTGTCTGGCTCAGCGTCCCTAACAAGGTCGCAGACAGGATGGTGACAGAGGGCTGTCGTGTCATCCAAAAGCTTGCTTGCCTGGGGCCAAGGGATTCCCTCCCAAGTTGCCCACGTGCTTGCTGGCAGGCCTCAGATCCTCATGGGCTGGAGGTCGAGGGCCTCAGTTTCCCCCTATGTGGGCCTCTCCACGGGGCTGTCCGAGTGTCTCCAAAACACGGCAGCCGGCCTCCCCCGAGACAACGAGAGAGAGAGAGGTGAGCAAGCAGCAGAGCACCCAAGACAGAGGCACAGTCTTTTACAACCCCGTTCCGGAAGTGACATGCCATCACCGCTGTGTGTTTGTTAGCCACGCAGACCGGCCCTGGTCCAGTGCGGGAGGGAGATGCCCAAGCCCGCGAGTGACCGGAGGGCCATCTTGGAGGTTGGCTACTGCACTGGGGAAATGCCATTTGGGACGAACATACACACGGACGGAAAGTACTGTGACCGATATTTCTCATACTTCTCAGAAGGTACTTCCAGAGCTGAATTCTAAAGCCATCCTGGGCTTTGGGAGCATCGATGACACAGACGGGCAACCGTCTCAGAGACGGCCTTGAACGTGACGATTTAGTTCAACGCTACAAATCTGTGTGTCAAGCACGGGGCACAGCCGAGGAGGACTCTGCACGAGCGATGTGACCATCTGTGCCCTCGAGGGCTTGCGGCCGGGACGGAGGCAGACCACACGCGGCGGGGAGAGGGAAGCACAGGGTTCGGCTGCGACACCGCCACGCAGGACAGAGCGTGGGAGAGCTGGGTCAGGAAGGCGAAGCTCTCGTGTTCTCGGGTGTCGTCCCAACCGGACGGGCTCTGGCTCTGCTAGTCAGGACCCAGCTGCTTAGTTCATTGCCACGTGGCCCAGGTTGTCTTAGCTCTCGTTGTGAAGGACAGAGCCTGTCTGTCATTCCTTTTCTGTTTTTAGAGACCATGAGGAGGGTCTTTCCCCCCGGAAATAGAAGGTCCCCGGGCCCTTGGCACCGAGCGAGAGTCTACTCGGGCTTTGAGTAGGAGCCTGGAGGTAAGAACGCCCAGGTCAGAGCCTGCATCGTCAGAAGCGGTGGCTCTTGCACTGAGAGCCTTCGGACGGCATCTCCCGCCCTTTCGCATGCCCGTACGTCCCTGTTCCCCTCCGGTCCCCGCGCCCCCACCGCCTCCTCCCCTCCCAGGTACCAACCACCCCTCTGTCGGCTCTCCACTCCCGTGCCGCCCATCTCTTTCCCACTGAAGGGATCAAGTCTTTCCACTTTAAGAGCAAAAAAAAAAAAAAAAACCCAACAACTAAACGAGAGAACAGCCCCTTCCTTGGGCCCAGGGTCCCTCCTGCCTTCCCTGCTAAGCTTCTCGACACAGTTGTGTCGACGGCTCCTGCTCAGCCGCCTCGCCTCCCATTCCCTGTTCTGCTTTTCGCAAACTGGATTTTAATCCTTCACACCCGTGGACGGTGATCTGCCTTCCTTTTCTCCGTGGGTCATTGAAATCCTGGCCACCGTCTGTATTATCTCTGCAACCCAGTTCCTTTCTTCTTTTGTCATCTCTTCCCCTCGCCCAACTCGATCGTCGTTACGCAATTATCCCCGAGCCTGCATCTCCTGCCCGGCTCCATCTGGGATCCAGGCCCACTAGGCGCCGTTGCCATGGATACCCCGCGAGTGAATGAAACTCGACCAGCTTCCTCTCCAGCTCCCCATTCTCAATGAAAGACAGCACCAGCCACCTAATTCTCACAAGTGCCAAGTTTTAGAGCATCCGTGACTCCTCTTTACCCTCCGTCTTCTGCCAACGTGGCGCATTGTTGATTTTGCCCACTCTGCCTCTCTGGCGTTGGCCCAGACCCTGGGCCCAGGACGTCCAGCCTGCATGCTGTCCTCAGGGGTATCCGGAAACCCAGAGGGGACTCTGGTCCTTCTCCACCGAAACCCCCTAATGCCTGCTTCACTTACGGGATTCAGCAGACGGGGTGCAAAAGTCAGACCCTGAGCTGAGAGAAAAGGTGGGGGGCTGGAGTCGGAGCCCCAGTTTTCCAAACCCACCCCGAGCATCGAGTCTCATGGGTTTACAAGTTCCCGGTGACTGGGGATTGGAGCGAAGGCAGCCAGGCATTTGTGAAGCCATTTGGTGAAGGAGCATCGTGAAGGACCCATTTACCAGGACCCTTGGGTGCTGTCACAGGGGTCGGTTCTGTGTGCATTCACTTTTACGTACACACAGGCAAGGTGATAACAAAGGCCGGGCCTTCACGCGCTTACAGCTTACACAGCACTGCACGCCGTCAGGGTAAAGTCCGAACCCCCCAGCACGGCCCAGGAAGGCCTCCGTGGCCTGGCCCCGCCCACTTGTCTAGCCTCCTCCCTCCCAAGGCCACCCAGCCCCGAAGCTCCTGCAGATCTCAGATGCTTCTCCTGCTGCGCCCGCTCCCCGGAACGCCCACCTGGCTGATTCCTCCTCAGCACTCAGGGCTCAGCTCAGGGGCCCCGCCCGAGTCAGAGTGCATGTCTCTGTGGGCCTCGCGAGAGTCCTCATTCCCCGGGCACTGCTGGGCTCCTCTCCGCCCCACCTCCCCCCGCCCCACCCCCCCACCGAGCCCGGAATCCGTGGGCACAGGGTTCAGGGAACTTGGCCATGGTCTCCCAGGCCCCGGGGCAGAGCCTGGCACACAGCAGGCATTCAGGAAGTGTGTTTTTTGAGTGAATGATGGAATTCCTCATTTTGAGTTCTTGAGATTCTTTTACTCTTAAAAAGTAGAGAAGAACCAGCTAAGCATAGTATAATTCATTTTTAGCCACTGGGATTTGAAAGAAGTCAACTGACATTTTATACTAAAATGGAAGAAAAATCTACCAGCGAGGTGGCATTGGGTGAAGGATGCCAACGGTAGGTTTTCTTCCTCGCCCATGCGCGCCCTGAAAATAAGAACCAGCCTTACTTAGACCGAGAGCACGAAGCCACTCATTGTGAGGAAACAGACTCCTCGCACTCCTTTTTCACGAGCCGACATCACTTCTTGGGCTTTACGGAGCGTCCTCTGGGGTCAAAGAATCCCCAGGGAGCTGGCCGTGTTCTATTATTCATAATGTGCTTGTATCGGGCAGGCATACATGTGCATTTCTGCATAAATGCACGACCCGATTTCTGTAAAGGAACCGATCGCTTCAAAAACATCTCTTCAAAGACAGCACAAAGGAAAGGCCAAAGGCGACCGCCCTGGCCTGGACATTGACTGACTCTGACCGACCGGAGTCCTGGCTGTGTCTCATCCTCCCGTGACCTTCCGCAGGGCAGGTGTCTGCCCTGTGTGCCCAGTTCCCTGGAATCCTAAAGTGAGTTCGGGAGGGCTGGTCCAGGGCGCCCAGTGTGCAGGCCGACGCGCCAGGTCTGGGGTCAGCGGGCCTGGCTCCGGCCCGGTCTGCCCTTTCTGAGCGGGTGCCGTGATCCGCCGCCTTAACCTCCGGGACTCAGGTCCTTCAGACATTCATCACGGTTGTCATTTACTTGTTTTTGTCCCTACTGGACCGTGAACTCCTTGGGGGTGCCTTAGCTTGTTCCCCGTATTAACTATTTTAGTTTAACAATCAGAAAAAGATGATCGATGATGTCTATCTTAAATTACTCAGAACAATGCCCTTTGTTTTGTCATGCTAAGAAACAGCGTCTAGAGTAAGGGTTCGATCATGTTGGGAGGAAGGAGTGGATGAATCAAAACCAGGGTGGCTCGTTTTACACGGTGAAGGTCACCTTGCCGGGGGAATTCTTCCCGAAGGCAGAGACTTCGGCTCGTACAGCATGGACGCCCCAGAGCCTGGCTCAGTTTCTGCAACAAACTAGGGGCTGCGCCAGTGTTTTTGTGACGCAATCAACACCGTTCCAGGCTCCTTCTGGGTAGCGACAAAACCGTTTCACGTGTCAGAGTGGCTCTCGAAAGGTGTGATTTCAACGAAGAGCTCTGACCTTTTCCCGAGTTTGCTGTTCTAAAAGGGGCCCCCGATCTCCTGTGGAAAGGACTGGATGTGAGGGTCTCACGCTTCCTTGGTCTTCATAGCTGGGGTGGTTCCAACGTTTGCACTACGCAGAGGCCAGAGACGGGGCGCCACAGCGACCGCACCCCCCACGGCAGCATGGGCGCCATGCACTCGCCTTTACGGTCCATCGGTTCGGAATTCTTCCGCCCCGCGCCACAGGCCGGCGCGGGGGCCGTTCTCCGTGGGGCCCTGCCAGCCGCCTCGCAGTGCCGAGAATCGGTCTCACACTCTCACCAGTTTGTTCAGCCCGAGTCCACCGTGCGCCCACGTCCTGCCTGTCCCCCGCACCAGTGAGCATCCGAACTCCCATGGGTGCCCGGGCGGTGGGTGGACCCTGCACGCCCTTGGCCTCATGGGAAGCCTGCAACGGTCCCAAGGATGTTCTGTCGTTCCTGTCCCCGTCTCGTAGGTGAGGAAACAGAGGCTTTAGAGGCCTCTGCTTTCGGACATGGCAACCCCGTTCTGGCGACCCCGTTCTGGCGACCTCAGAACAACCTCGTTCGGCCTCTGCAGGGGGAAAGACCTGAGATTTCTGTCGCTTGGGGCGTGTCCTGGAATGCGTGGGAGAGCTCTAGAAGCGTGGGCTCGGGGGCTGCCAGAGAATATCAGCGAGTGGCACGTTTCTGGGGATAGTGAGCATCTGCTGCAGAATGGGCCCCACCCCGGTTCACCCCCAGCTTCTCTTCCTTCTCACCTGCCCCTGAAGACCAGCCGTCCACACTCGCTGCCTCCAGCACCTCTCTCCCGCCCCTCTCCGGACACTGCCTGCCCCCCCACCCCATTCTGCATCCACCCCTCTCTGCCTCCTGGGCCCTGTCCATCCCTCTTCCCGCTGAACCTCAGCCGCATTTGATGCTGACGAAAACCCCCTTCCTTCCCCCTTCCTTCTCTGGTCTCTGAGACTGTGCCTCCCCGGTTCTCCTCTCAGCTGAGAGTTCTCTCTCCTCTTCTCGGATCTCTGCTCTTCCTCCTGCTCCCGAAACGGTGACGGCCCCCAGGGCTCCGCACGCACTGTCCTCTCCCCCAGCTGAGCCTGGGCACACCCTGGGAGGCCCACCTGTCCGCGGGTTATTCCGACTTCTGCTTCCATGCTGTCCCCCTGGCTGGACAACAGGTTTGCCTCACAGCACCACGCTGACCCTGCCATCGGGTGGGTACTGCAGCCCGTGCTCAGAACGGACACCTTCCCTTCTGGCCTTCTCGTCCTCCTGGTCGGGCTCACCCTCCTGGTGACTCAGACCCAACACGAATCCATCTTTGACCTTCCCCCCGCCCGCCCACATCCAGCCAGCCACCAAGTCCGTCCTTCCTCTCTGGTGCTCCCCAGCTCTGTCCCGTCCTCCTGTCCGTGTTCTGGCCTTGTCATCACTAGGCTCGTGTGGTGTCATCCTGTTCCTCTCAAAGTCACCTCTGCACTGTCACTGGTGTTACGGTAACACCAGTGCTCCCCTGGAGGGCGGAGCCTAAACTCCCTCACGATGAGGGGCCCGAGGAATCGGGCCCTGCCCCTGGGGCTGCGGCTCCTCTCTGGGTCCCCTGCTTCTCTCTGCTTCTGTTCCACGCGGAAGGGTCACACGGCGGACTATTCCCCCCGGCCCCCAGGCTGGGTCTGGCCTCCGCGCCCGAGCCCCGGCTGCCGGACCACAGCTCCCCCGCCCCCAGCAGATGCTGGGGTCTGGCTGACAAGTCTTCCCCAGGCACCCCTTTCCTGGGGCTTCCCTGCCCACGGGCATCTCTGGAAATGCATTCACTGGGCTGTTCTTGCCCACTGGTAGGCAGTCCCTTCCTCCCTCCCTTCTTCCTTCGTACTGGAGATCAGGTCTGTATCTTACTGATCTTTGTGACCCCCAGCAGATACTCAAAGCATGCGTGTTTGTTGAACGGATGGTGAGTGAGTGCATGAGTGAACGAATGACCTCGCTGCCTCCGGCCGCATGCCCTCGGATGGCTGCCGCGGAGGCCCGCCCCCCCTCTCCTGGCTTCACTGTCTCTTCCCTCCCGCCCCCAGCTCCTCCGCAGGCCGGCCAGGGTCCCAGCATGGGGGGGGGGGCAGACCTTCCTCAGGCCCCTCTGGACTTCCCCTTTTTGAGACTTGAACTTCCTGCCTGGGGCTCTGTCTCCACTGCCCGGACCCGGTACCTCCTCTCCTCCCCGAGGGTGACTTCCACCCTTTTCTTTGTGCAGGCAGCTGGCTGCTTTGTCTCGTTGCTGTGGTCTCTCGTGCTATCTGGGGTCCCTGTTGAACCGGGCCCAGGACTCCAGGCCCGCACCCCTGTTGCATGCATGGGACACCCACACCACAGGGTCTAACCCTCTCGTCCTTCTTTCTTTAACAGCAAAACATGTTGGAAGGAAACGTGCCCATGAAGATGCTTCAGGAAGGGCGTCATTTTCCCTTTGATTGGTTGCGGTCCTTAATAAAGGTCTTACTTTTTTCCTCTTTCATTGTCTGATTTTTAAAAAGAGAAGTAGGAGTCACTGTCAGATTCTTAGATAAGCTAATGCCGTGAGGAGGGGAGCATCAGCTAAGGGTTTTAGGAGTCGAGACTCATCAAGTGGCCGTGCACAGCCCAGTCACGTCGGACATGGGTTCGAGGCCGACATCCCGTGGTCGTGAATTCCTCGTTCTCACAGAGACAAGCAGAGCCGGGCAGCTCAGGGCCAAGGAGTGTCTTTTCTTTGGTGACTAATTCTAATTTTTAAAGAGAAGTCATCTGGTGATTCAGGGACGAGAGGCGATCTCCTCCGCCCCCAAGAGGCCGGCCTAGCTTCTTCTTCTCCTGCAGGCTTCTTAGCCCATGGAATCCACAGCAGAGACGACTTTGGTCAAAGCAGGCGTTGCCAGAAATGTCCCCAAGGACTGTCCCTAAGCCACTTACTCAGAAACCTGCCCCCGTGTGCAGCCAGGTTTCTGCGGCCTGTCTGCTGCGGCCTGTCCGCAGCAGTGAGAGGACCCGAAGATTCGAGAACCCCCAAACTGGAATGTGGCCCATCGCCAGCGAGGCTGAAACCCATGTCATTCCCCATGGCCTTCCGCCAAGATGGCAGGAGGCCCCGGCCATTGCACTGCGGACAGGCAACACACGGGGGCGCTGTCAGGCGTCGGCACCCCGATGTAGACGTGGGGGTTCGTTCCTGTCTGTAGCCAACCACTCCACTTACCACAGCTTTTATTTTTTTTAAAGGTTGTTTATTTATTTATTTATATTTAGAGAGGGAAGGGAGGGAGAAAGAGAGAGAGAGAGAGAAACATCAATGTGCGGTTGCTGGGGGTTATGGCCTGCAACCCAGGCATGTGGCCTGATTGAGAATCGAACCTGCGATGCTTTGGTTCGCAGCCTGCGCTCAATCCACTGAGCTACGCCAGCCAGGCACTTACCACAGCTTTTAAACAACCACTTGACCACCCGGTGTCCGCCTCACCACCCCCGTGTTCTGTCTTTTTCCCCAGAGCCTCCCTGGGCGTTCCCAGGTATTTTCTTTTACTTTGACTTTGAGGTCGGCCTGTCGAGTGACAAACAAAAGTTGTGCTGATGTTTTCAGTCCAATGAATTCCACCAAATGTGCAGACTAAGCTAGGAAACACAGACGCCTTCAGACGTTTGAGTGTTGCTTCATAAGAACAAGATACACATTTCCGTTCACTGAAGCCTTCTTCTCTGCCCCCTTCATCGAGGTGAAGAGCGTGTACGTGCATTTCTTTTATAATTTATGTATTGGTATCATTCCTTCTGTTGTTACTATAAATGAGATCTCTCGTCACCACGTCTTAGGATATAACCCTGAATCGTATATGTCAGGTTTTTGGCCTGTCTTCCTACTGAATTCTCACATTGTTTTTACAGGTTTTCAGTTGATACTCTAGAGGATTCCATGTATACAATAGAACTTCTGCAAATAATATTAGTTTTGCCTCCTCTTCCTCTTTGGAAGGCCACATCTTTCCTTCGCCCGCGTTCTTTGAGTGCACCCCAGCCGGGCCGGCGAGCAGAGTGGCGACAAGCACTCCTGTCTGCGCCCGACGCAGCGCCCGAAGGGGCGCGCTCGGCGCCTCCATTACGCACGACGCTGGTCTCTGGTTTCTGGGTGTTGGTGTGTTTAATCGTAGCGAGGTTGTTTCTCTCCTTTCACCGTTAAGAGTTCAGAACGTAAGTGTACCTTGAACTTGATCGAACACCACTGGAAATCTGTCGTATTTGAATTTCAAATTTGGAATTTGTCTTTCTTCCTTGATAAAAAGAATCTGGTGAATTATGTTAATATGTTGCCGGTATTGAACCGCCTTTGCCTTTCTGGAGCACCCCCACGCGGGGGCAGGGTCCTCTGTTCTTTAAATTTGCTGCCGGATATTTAACCAGGTGCCGCTGTTCCATTCAGGATGCCGGTGCCCACCTGCACAGGCAAGAGCGATCTGCTTTTTGGGCTTCCTTCGTCGTCTGCTTCTCGTATCGGTGTGGTGGAACCCAGGTACCTTTACAGCCTCTGCATAGCACCCTCTGCGCAGCCACCGGCTCCCGCGCCCTGGCTCAGCGAAGGAACGCCTGTGGAGGGCAGGCGTGACCTCTTCAGCGGTCAGGGTAGGGGGGCAACCGCGGGGCAGGCAACGGACACATTTCTGGAGTTTGCTGATCTCTGCATCCACCCGTCTGCATCCCCAAACATTTTTGCCGGCACGTTTCTTCCGCTTCTTTTGGAGGGAAGGATGAGGGACAAACGAACTCTAGGCCTGAAGTGTCAGCCCTTGTTCAGCAACAGTCACCGGTCCCGGGCAGGAGTCCCCTGGGTTGTGGGTCTGCGTAGGGACTGTCTGACGGGCCGTGGGAGCGAGCACGTTGGGACTGTGTGAGCCGTCCCCGCACTGCGCACGCACGGCCACCCGGCTCCAGCACGGCCCGCACCCTCCCAGCACGGCCTTCCCCCGGGCGTTAGCACGTCACACGTCACAGGGAGAGAAAGACTCCGAGTGGGGTCATGGGCTCACGGGCGACGGGCAGCCAGGGAGCCCTCACGAAAGATGCAAACTGAGGGTCCAGGACCCACAGGCTCTGTGTGCTCGGCGGTGCTAGTTTTAAGAGCAAACATGGTCTGGTTCCCTCAGGCCAGAGTTCGGGGGTGGGGGGGCGGGGGCAATTTCCTGTTGAAAAGAGACCTCGTGGCTTTCCTTCGGTCACACACACCTGTCCACCTCCACAGAAATCCTATGCAGGACAAGCGTCGCTCAACCTCCCCATAAACATGTCGCCGTGCCCCTTTGAAATTTGCAGCACAGCAGTCTGGGCCTCTCTCCAGAGGCCGGCGGGACCAGAGTCCCCCTGCCAGAGTGACGTTTTACGCAGGAGACTTTGGCAGCATCGAAAACACAATGGGGGGGTGTGACTGGGCCCGGCCCCTGGGAACCAGCACACGCGTCCACAGATGGCCCACGCCTACCTCCCCTGTCCCTTCGCAGCTTGGATTAAAGATTGCCCAGAGTTCAAATATTTAATGTTCTCCCTCGTTCGCCATTCCTGGAATGTCTCGGCGTGGCGTGGCTCATGGCCCGGTACCTGGGCGAGGTCTCGGCTTTGGGGCGACCTCAGTCCCGGCACCCAGCACCCAGCACCTGCCCATGGCCTGGGCGCACCTGGGGCAGCTGCCCAGGGTGTCCGGTTTGCGTTACTCTGCTGTCTGGGTCTCAGCAGGAGATCTGATTTTGATGGTCAGATGGATTTCCCACACGTTCCACCGCACGAGGTGTGGTTTGTTTCGTGACCGTGGGGCGTCGGCGGGCGGCTCGGCGGCAGTGCGGTGAGAAGCGTCCCACGGGAAGTCCCAGAGCCGGGCCACGCCGCGGCCTTGTCAAAACGAGGTTTGGACGGATCAGCTCGGAGTCGCCGGGTCGCCTCTTCCCTTCTTGCTCCGCTTCCTTCCCGCAACACCCGTCCTCTCCTTCCCGGGGCCCTGATCCGTCCAGCCTGCAGCCACCCAAGGACTCTCCGTCTGGTCCAACCACTCGTGGGAGGAGCGATGTTTCGTGGGAATCGGGCTTGTACCTCAGCTCTCTGAATTCTGCCCGCCTGCCCCTAAGATGAACTTGTAATCATCGAATCTTTAGAAAGGCGACCAACGGGTCTGAAGTTCTCTCAGAGAGGATGGTGGCCAAGCTGTCGGCTCGCTGGGTCCCCCTGGCCGTCCGATGTCGCCATGGCGCCTCTCACAGAGCCACGGTGAATCCCCGTGTCCCACATGCTCTGACACACGGGCACGGAGTGACCCCATCGGCTCGGTTCTCCGGACCTGCCGCAGGGCCGGGGGGGCGGTGTCTCGCCCCGAAGGACCCTGGTAAACACGCTGCTCCCCATCACCCTCCTCTCCCCTAGGCTCCCCGGCTCACGGAACAGGGTGAAAAGCCGGAGCTGCTTCCCGGCTTTCCTGTGCCCGTGACGCTGGCAATCTTGCTTTTCGTACCCAGACAGACACTCCCCAGGCTGCCGCTCAGCAGAAAACTGGCATCCCTGAGAGGCAGGCAAAACTGCCTGCTGAAATGGAGAGAGCAGGTAAGACATCCGAGTCTTTCTTCTCTGAGCTGGGGGTGGGGGTGGGCTGCTGGCCGAGGGGGGGCCGGGGGGAAGAGAGAAGGCTGTGTGGACGCCCCACTGCCTCGGGGCTCGAGCCCGTGGCCCCAGGAGCAGAAGCAGCTCTGGGGGCCGGTGGCCAGGAGGGCAGCCTGGCGCTTTCCATAGGTCCCCGGAACTAGGTCGCGGTGACACTGGGGAACCTGCGTCGCTCCCTGGGCAGAAGCAGCTCCACTGTCGCTGCTGCTGCGGCTGCAGAGGGCACGCTCTGCACGGCTGTGGCAGCGGAGGCCGCCTGCTCCCTCCGCCTTCCCTTCTCCCTCCTTTCCTGCTTCGCCAGGGGGTGTCCCTCCCCTAGGCCTCCTGGATGAGCCAGGCAGGGGGCTCTGAGCATGGGGTCCCATCCCAACCCACGCGTTGGCCTACAGACATTCCATTCCAGCTCTAAACGTTAGCTTTGCACACCCCTAAACAAAGTGCATCGCCTGGTAAAAGAAAGCATTACATTTAAGAGTAAATAAAATTCACCTGAAATCCCACCCCCCACGTTTGCCTCTTGAGTTCTCTTTAAAACCGACCATGGGAATGGGCTTCGGACCAAGAGCGAGCGGCCGGCCGTTCCCACCTTCTTTCCTGATCGCTCTCGGGTAGCGAGGGACTCTCTGGTTACGGTTAACCCTAACACAGGCTCCCGTCTTTCATTAGGACAATTCCATGCTGGAGGGCACGCCCGCACATTACATACTAGCATGTTATACACATGTTAGTGCGTGTCCTATGATACAGCCACAACCCTACGGCGACCATCGCCGTCTTCTCTCCGGCCTCAGTCGCGTCTGGGCTGAGCCTGCGGTTGGGGGTGGGGTGGGCGGGCAGGGCCGGTTCTCAGCCTCAGCCCCGCAACCAGCAAGCCCAGGGGGCTGGGTAGGTTTGCGTCCTGCATCCTGACACAGAGTGAGGCTGGTTCTTCCAGTCTCTGTGGAAGTGTCCCCGGCTCTCTCTGCTGTGGTTCCTCTGGCCCGGGCCCTCAGCGGACACAGCTCCGTGCCACAGGGCCCCTGAGACTCCTCGCCCAGCCCCAGGGCACCCTGCATCACCCCCCACCCGCCCTCTCTGGGTCTTCTCCCCCACTCCACGCAGCCACACGAGGCTGACCGAAGAGGACCCCATGCCACCTGCCCTGGGTTGAATACTGCCCCCCAAATGCACGTCTCCCCAGAATCCCAGAATGTATCCTATTTGGACACATAAGTTCTTTGCCGATGTAATTAGAGAAGATGCTCATACTGGATTCGTGTGGGCCTACTCCGGTGACGAGTGTCCTTACGAGGAAACAGAGACACAGAGACCGGGGGAGTAAGTCCACGCGGTGATGCAGGCAGAGGCTGCAGAAAGGTGTCTCCAAGCCGAGGAGGCCAGGGGTCGAGGCAGCGGACCACAGCCAGGAGCGGGGCCCGCACCGGGGTCTCCGCGGCAGAGCCTCCAGAGCAGCCGGCCCGGCTGACAGACCCAGAAGAGGAGGAGTGTCTGCCACTTCAAGACACCTGGCGTGGGGGCCTCCCCCACAGCAGCCCAAGAAATGAGTGTGCTGGCCCCCTGCACCCACTCCCACCTGCTCCCCGGAGACACCCTCACACCCTTCGCCCTGATAGACCCCGGGTGGCAGCGTGGTCCCCCGAGGACGGTGGCCTCCCAGCCCGCCACCAAAGCCTTTGGTCAGCTCTTGTCCTCTCCAATCCCTGGTGGCAGCCAGACCCCCATCCATGGTTCTGTTCTTCCTTCTCAGGGGTGGGTCGGACCCGGGTCCTTGGTGTCACCCGGTTTCACTGGGACCCCACCCCGAGCTGGGGGCTGAGTACCAGCACCCTCTTCCCTCTCCCCAAGGAGGGGCCTGAACAGCAAGGCGGCCGTTGTCTCCAGAGAGACCCCCCCCGCCCCGTCACCTCCTCCTCAGAGCAGGCCGCTCCTCCTTCGAGCCCCGTGCTCACCGGGCCTTGCGCAGCCGACCCGGGGGTGGGCCGTGGCCCCCCTTCCTTCCCTTGGGAGCTCTGTGCGGGGTCGGGGGTGGTTGCAGAGTCTCTCCCACTCCGTTCGGTCCCCCCGTTCCACCCTAGCACCCTGTTACATGCACTGTGTGTGCAAACACAGTTTTACCTTGCTGAGGGAGGCAGGGGCATGTAAGCGAAGTGGAGGCATGTCTGACCGCCCGCGGTGGGTCGCGTTGTGCCTCTGCCCCCCGAACACAGGTCCTCCCGGAACCCGTGAGGGCGAGCGCGCTTGGAAGAGGGGTCTTTGCTGATGTAACTCATTTAAGGCTCTCGACTTGGGGTCTTCTTGAATTTAGGGCGGGTCCTAAACCCGCTGACAGGCGTTCTGAGACGGGGAGAGGAAGACACTGAGACCCCCAGAGGAAGGGGCCGCGAGGACAGGCCCGGGCGGGACTCCCGTGGTCCCAGGCCGCTGGGCACCTGGAGGCTTCTGCGGCTGCAGGAGGCAAGGTGGGGGGGCGTCCCCCAGAGCCTCAGGTGGGAGCGGCCTGCCCACACCTCGGCAGACACCTGGATTTCAGACTCTAACCCTTCTGAGTGCAAGGAAATGAGATTTTTGTGGTTTGAAGCCACCCCGTTGTAGTAATTTGTTTTGACAGCTCTAGAAAATAACACGCTAAGTATATTACAAGCATTCCCCGTGTTATTAGACATTGCGGTAATTATCTTTAATGATAGGACACTCTTCTGCGGTACGATGAATGCGCTGTTGTAAAACATTTCGTACTGGGAAATCCAGCGGACCGAGCACTGTGGCGTGAGCTGCACTTGGATGTGCGTTCGGGGCACCTGGCCACGCCCCTCGGGAGGCCTCCCGGCGGCAGTGGCAGCACTGCGGGGTCGAAGCCCACCCTCTCGGCTCCGCCTGGGCACCCCCCCCCGCCCCCCTGTGAAGCCTGCTGCCCCAGGCCTGTAATTTCCGTAAATGTTATTTCGTGCTGGTTGGTACAAGACACGTAATAACCCTGTGAGTCATTTCTTCAGCAGTTCTTACAGACGCTGTCCCCGCGAGCATAAAAAGCGACCTTCTGAAAAACAGGCCCCGCCCGGTACTTAGCCCGTCTGGGCCACTCGTCTGGGGTGTTTCAGTCCCGATGAGCTCACGTCCCTCAATGCGGGCGTCTTAAAAATGTGCTCCTTTGTGCCTTTTCTTTTGTTGGTCTCCACTCTAAAAGCAAGCCCGGAGCTGTTGCAGCACACGCCACGAACAAAGGTGGCTCGGGCGGGCCCCTCCCCCACCTCCAGCCCTCAATCACGTAAGTGTCGCAGCGGCTGGAGGTGACGTTGTCCCAGGAGGCCTTCGGGCGTCTGTCCAGAAGAGGTCAGCATGGACCACGTCACCGAAAACCATGTTTATCTGGACGCCAAGGGCCCGGGGCTCTCAGCCTGTGGTTTGCTGACACCTGGTTGTTTTTACCTCGGGGAGGTTGGTGTCCCTTCACCTGGGTGACGGGATCTGGGCAGCGAGAGCAGTGGGCCAAAGGGACCCTGATGTTTCTGAGATGCTCTCCCCTTGTTCGTGTTTCCCACGGCCCCGGCGCGTTCAGGTCTGCGTGTCGGGCAGACGTGTCCGCACCACATCAGCCTCCCCGTGGGCACCCTGCGAACATGGTGCCTGAACTGAACCCCGGGCCAGAAGAGCAATCGCAACATTCTGACCCCGTTAAAGCAACGCCATCGCACGGGGAGCTGCCACCCGTGCGCGGTTGGGTAGGACAGTTGATGGTGCGCGAACTGCCACCCGGAGGGGCAGGGCTGGAGTTCGAGATGATGAACTAAACCACGGAATCACACTCAGCTGGCTGCTGTGTCTCGTGTGTGTGCTGATAAGAGACCCTGACCTGCCCTCGGCATGTCTGTGCCCCGTCCCCAGAACTCCGGCCGGGAATCTAAAGATGACTGACAGTTTGGTCTAGGAGGAAGCTGGCTTGTGCAGTCCAGCAGGAGACTCCGTGTAGTCTGGCCAGCAGCTGTTGGGTAGCACTGCTCCTTGATCCTAAGAGAGAAACACAGAACCATGCACACGTGTGTGTACACGCAATGCCTAAGCACACGCAGGCACACATGTACACACAGTAACCAGCATGTGTATGCACACACAGTTATTAGCACACACGTGCGCACACAGTAACTAGCACGTGTGTCTACGCACAACTAGCACACATGCACATGCACAGTAATGAGCACACATGCACACACAGTAACTAGCACACATGTTCACACACAGCAACTAGCACACATGTGCACACACAGTAATGAGCACACACGTGCAGACACAGTAACTAGCACACATGTACACATGCAGTAACCAGCACACGTGTGCACACGCAGTAACTAGCACACAGCAGGCCTGGAGGGGCGCCTCCACCTGCCTCTGCTCAGCCCCTTCCCGCCTCTCCTCTCGGGTGGGAGGGGCTGACACGGCCAGACGTCACGGGCGAGGCCTGTGGCAGCAAGGCTGTCACAAAGGACGGCGGCGTCTCCACACGGCGCCCTTCTGAAGCTGACGAGGACCCGTCGGCGCTGGTCCTCAAGTTGTACACGGTGTGCGCCCGAGACCCGGGAACAGCTGAGTTAAACTGTAAGGAAGCATTTGTCTTTCCCATTATGTCACTCTGTTGGTTTCCTTACTTTCCCTAGGTTTTGATTTACTTTTGGTATTTCCTAGAGCTCGGTGAGCCTGCAGAGCCCGCTGAGCCTGCAGAGCCCGGGGGTGGAGCTTTGGAGAACACGAGTGCAGAGGCAGGGACATCTCTCTCCGGATGCCCGGGTCAGAGCCCCCTGCGCCGGCCCTGACAGCACCTCGGGGCGGCTGGTCCAGAAACGGGCGTGGGAGCCCACGCAGGCCACGCCAGAGGCCGTGGGCCACGTTTTCTCTTCTTACAGGTCTTTCCTGTGCAGGCGTGAGGCTGGCACGCCACCGAGGGCAGAGCTGAGGCACTCTGAGACACGGGGCAGAACCTGGGTTCAGTGAATCCCCAACCCAGTCCCCCCCCCCACCCCGGTCCTCCAGAGCGGACCCACTGTTTACTGACGGAGCCTGCGGGGGCGGGCCGTGAACCAGGGCCGCACGGGAGGTTCCGGCGTGCTCTTGGGGTCCCCTCATCTCGTTTTTACGAAACCAGGGCCCATGGGGCACGGCTGCAGGGCTCACCCAAGGTCACCAGCCACGCACAGAAGGACCGGAAGGCAGGGCCCAGCTGCAGGCGGTGTCAGAGGACAGGAACGCAGTGTACCCACTAAGCCAGCCCCCAGATGCGGAGCCGATTCTGGGCTCGGTGCTTGTTCCCCGGCTCCTCAGTCCACCCCAAAGGAGTGACCCTCTCCATGTCTCTTCCCCTCGTCCCTAATTCTCTTCTATAACCACCCCCTTCCTTCTGCCCCACCGGGCAGCTCCCCAGACGGAGGCCGTCCCCACCCTGAAATGCCCGTGTTTGCTGGCATCGCCCAGGCTGCCTCCCTTAGTCACCCTTCGACGGGATGG